ATATGTATGTATGTATATGTATATCTAACCACAAACTAATCGTGCGTATTTTTGTCGTAACGTAGTTGACGCGTGCGGCAATTATCTTCAATTACCTCACCAAGTACATCCAATTTCGGAGATGGGTGACACAAGAGATCAGACAATTTCTGAAATAGAAGGCTTGGAAGAGCAACGCCACCAGCGGCAGATACGCCAATTCGCGGCTTTGCTTCTCTTCCGGATATTAAGGTGCATTTTTATGTGACACTATTTTTAATGTTAAAATATTACACTATTTTTAATGTTAAAATATTACCGAAAAAACTAATGGTAATAATTTTTGACTTATGAAAATATGAATTGGCTGCGTTCAGAAGAGAAAGCAGATCAGTGAGCGTTCAGTGATTCTTTATTATGATTGGTTTTTACATTTATATTCAACGAAGATCTAAAGGCAAGGACCAATCATATTGAAAAATCACTGAGTGCTTACTAATCTGCTTTCTCTGCTAAACGCAGCCATAGCCTATCCTCTCCCCTTCATAAACTTAAATAGAATCTCGCTATCTCCAATTAATTTGATTGGTTGACTGAATTTAACTCATAAAATATGAATCATTTCAGATGTTGCAATATATTTAAAATTGCAGAAACAATGAAGAAATATAATGGTATAATTTATGTTAAATCAAATTTATTAATTTAAGAAATAAATAATTGAATAAAGAAGTAAAGAATGAAATGAAATATATTTTTAGTAAATATATGTATAATAACGATTTGTGTACATATATGTATACACATATATACAGTGTTATTTAAAATTGGGGATTCATATTTTATTTATTTTTTTAATTATTTTATAAATTATATGTTAAAAATTATTAATAAAATTTTTAACATTTTTCTTTATTATAAAATATGTTTGTTATAAATATTACGTTTATTAGGGAAAATATAATATTATGAATAATATTATAATATTTGCTAAAAAGTTTGGAATCAACAAAATCAAAAATATATTTTTTAAATTAAGATTTTTAATTAAATTGTTTCTTCAAAATATTTTATTAAAATTAACATGATATTTTGAAATCCATGTAATATTGTATATGTATCTTCAAAAACTTTTAAATAAATAGATTTTTCGTAGTTATCAATGTAAGGAGCATAAAAGTGTGAGAAAAGAAAATATTAAACTCATGGCCTAAAACAAAATATATCTTTTATAGAACTAATCAATATGATGATTATTCCTATTAATGACATATATATCCTCTCACCGTAGTGAAACCTTCCAAACTGGGACTAAACATACCGGCAGCCTTAACTCTATAACTTTTTGTAGTTTTTCTTATCAAAAAAGTATGAATTTTTGTATTTTTAACGGAGCATCGTACCATTGGGTATTGCATCTATATAGTTGCAAAAAAGAATTAATTAAAATCTCTATCACATCTACACACATTTACATACGCGCATAGCATTACACGCACACGAATGTGCACACACATGAATACTATATCTTCAATTATGAAATTTATAATGTGATGCATTATGCTTCAAAAGGTATATTAATTGTTACATACATTATTCGATGAATATGATTGTCACAATCTGTAAATTCTTGTCCAACAAAATTGCCTGCAATTAAGAACAGAAAAATGAAAAGCACATATAGAAGAAATTTAATAAGTTCTAACTTTTCCTCTTCCATTGTTAGGATTCGAAACAGCTGTAAGCAAAATTCATGAAATTGCAGTAAATAGTTTTATAAAAAACTAACGATTAAGATAGTAATATCTAATTGATATATTACTTACGCGAAAGAGACTAACAGTTGCTGAAAATAGAGCAACTATAAACATAAACAGATACGATAATCCAAAGCTTGCTTGTAATAACTCCGAAAATCTAATAAATATAATAAAGCTTTTTATTATTATTTTATCATTATTAATTGCATATAATTACAATAATTTTATTTAATTATCTTTGATTTTATTTAATTATCTTCTTTTAATTGCCAATACAATATTCATGTAAAAGACAACTTGGAAATTAGCATACTGACTCAAGCGCTCTTCTATGGATGTCTACCGCAGCAATTATTTTATCATAGAATATCTTATAACTTTTAGTTACAGGTATTCGTAGAGCGTTTGTTTTTAACATATGTTCCATACGATAACTATAAAATTCTATATGTTATAAAAGATATAAAAAATATAACATCTCATAAGCTTAATTCTACATATAATAAAATAATGTGCAATATGTTATGAATGAATTATTTTAATAAATATTGATTATATATTTTTTATATATAGGGTAATAATTATTAACATATTGTTCGTATAGTATGCTGTTTCTTCACGCTAATACATTATTCTTATTCTCGTGAATATTTTCTATAAATTAATATCTTATGAATTATTTCAAAAATCATAAAATAATAGATGATTTTTATAGAATTACTAGTTAGTAGAATTTACTCTGTCTACATATGAGCGATGTAATAATTACTAGAGATATATATGATTTTTAATATTTTTTTTTGAGATCTTGAAATATTTAAACAAAATATTTAACAAACAAAATATGGAATATTTTTACGTCTTTTTGCACTTTTGAAGTATTAACATTAATGGGTTCTATATTATATTCTATATTATGCTGAATGAGTGCTCATTAAGAACTTTGGACTGGAGGAATATCTCCTATATTTAACATAAATTTAAAAGTGTACTCCAATCATAACGAAGTGCTCACTAAACGCTTGAATTGTTGTAGTATTGAATGTACCTAATGCATTCTAAACGCCATCTGATTGAAATTGATTAGATTATTCTTGAAGTAGGAAGACTAACAAATACAAGGAAGAAGAAGAAGAAGAAGAAGAAAAACCATCTTATGCAACGATAAACAATGCATTCCGAAAGCTTCATTGATAACTGATTGTGAGCACGTGCGTTTCACTATTTGCAACATAACGTAAAATAAATTTTTTGTGAAGATTATTATTGGCAATGAAAAATAGATTCTATAAGATAATTCTAAATGTCGATATTAAGCTCCAGAGCCAAGAACCTTCTACATCGATGGTGAACCAAATATCCACTTCAAGGAGATTCTTTTTTATATCTGGTGGGATATGAAGAATGTGCCCTATTAAAATCGGATCAAACATTAACACTACTATAGCGACCAATTAAAATGTTTGCATAGAGAAATTGACGAAGAAAGATGATTCTACAAACAAGATCATGTTTTGCTTGATCATATATGTATATTGCGACTCAGGAGAATCGTATCTTTAGCTTAAACGTTCTTCTTCACGCAGTTTATTCATCAAACTTCGCCTCTTTCGATTATCGTTTATTCAATTCGATTGAATAAGTAGTAATCGATATTTATTGACTATATAGCATTTCCGAAATAGGTCCATCCAAAAATTCATCGATGACTTCATACCGATATAATTTCTTTGGCGAAAAAACCCGTCAGCTTTTCGAAAGATGAAAGACAGTTATAGCAAATAATAGCAAATATTTTGATGATTAAATTATGATTTATATCTTTAAAAATAAAGTCCAAATATTTTGAAAGAAAAGATTAAAAATCATGCATTTCCTAATATCAGATATTTTATTATTTATTCATTTCTGTTGTTCTTTTTCTCACTCTATACATTAAATCATTAATCATGCAAATATGATGTAGTTAAAAAAATTACATTTAAAAAATACTGTAAATAATAGAGAAACAAAATATAAACCATAAGGAGCTTAAATCTATATTTAATTCGTATTTGTTAATGTCCACACACGTGTATGTTTGTACATGTTTACATTAATAAGTACATTAATAAGTAAGTATATAGAGAGTTCTATTTTTAAGATATCTCGAAAATCAAGGTTTCTGCTGAAAAATGTCTGGTACAAAAGTTTGGAAATTTTGAGAGGAAGCCATTAAAAATCAAACAAATGGCACCATTTTATTGCTCCATCAAAACCACAAAACTTTTGTACAAAACATTTTTCAATAAAAACTTTGGTTTTCAAGATATTTCTGCATTATTAAAAATGCTTATATATCCTTCATCCTGCTTATCCATCACGTGGACGCGCGCGCGCGCGCGCGCGCGTGTGTGTGTGTGTGTGTGTGTGTGTGTGTGTGTGTGTGTGTGCACATATGCGTGGGTATATACATATATTTACATTAATAAATATAAATGAAGTATAGATCTGGGTCTACATATTATTCCTATATTATTTCCTTATTATTTATAGTGTTTTTCTTATGTAATTATTTTACTATTTTATATTCGCACAATCATATTTAATTTATCAGAGTAAGAAAGAAAACAATATAAGTAAAGAAATGAATAATAAGAAAAAATAAATGATATCCCTAATCATATGTACAATCTAATAAATGTTACAAATAAAAATTTTATAGATCATAAATATTAATTGAATTAAGAAACTAGATTTTTTTGTTTAAAAAATTCTTTTGATCAAAAAGAAAATATAATTGTTAAATTTTTAGTTGAACATGAAAAATGAACAAAAATAATGTTTTTAATAAGAATCGTTTACTTACGATATACCTAGCAATTTTAAACATTCCAAAAATGTGTATTGCATTAGCTAATGTGAATGATTCAGTAGCTATTCCAGTAGTTGCTACAACGAACAGTTCAATCATTTCATGTATTACTAAAATATGAAAATATTTTTCTTCATCGATCCAATAGCTCGCTTTAATCAAAAGATGGCGCGGACGAGATTCATTTAAAGGCATTACTATATCAAACAAGTCCGGAATGTATTGTATTAAAATGTAGACGAAGATTCCGAAATAAACATATACTAAAATTTTTTATATTTTATTAATTTTTTAATTAGATAATAATTATTGATTTACGTGCAAATGTTTAAATTATTTGTCATGTCAAATTTAACAAAGTTATAAAAATTTTATATTTTTTTCTTCTAATATATAAATTATGTATTTTACACAAGCAAAATAATATTTTCTTAATTATTTGTAATATATATATGTATATATGTATAAAACTTTTTACTACTCTTTTATATATAAATATATATAATTTTATATATAAATATATATAAAAAATATATAAATATATAAAAGAAAACTTTTGATAAAAAGTACGTGATTATAGTAACTTTAAAAGTCAAAGCAGCATAACATAAAATTCAAAATCATTTATTATATCTATTTTCAATTTTTATAGATTATATATCCAAATTTATATCGAAATTCATATGGAAAGCCAAAAAATTGTTTGTATTTATAAGCTGCATTCCATTCAGTTTTTCAGTAATTATGTCAAATAACTCAATTTTAAAATAAAGTAATTAAATTTATTTGATACTTACTTGTTATAAATATCGTAGACAGTTTTCCAAAATTGGTATATTTGTGCATTATATCGATTTCTCGATTATCTGTTAGAATGCTCCAGTTATTTTGAATATATTTCCGAAATTGTTTTATCTATTAATACATGCGTTAAATATCTTTATATATATGTATATACGGCAATTAACTTCAGATTGTTAGTCAGTCCAATTGTTATTGGAACTTACATTTCCCATAATAGAAGCAACAGTAATATACTTGATAAACCATATTAAAGTAAAAAAAAGAAAGCTAATATTTCCGTAAGAAGGTCAAGATTGTATTCCGAAACAAATAATTTCGCCAACTGTAAGCAACACTTACTGATATACGAGTAATATTTTATATTTATATGAATAGATTTTGCATATCTGAAAGAAAAGTTATTTTAAAAAAAATCATGCACATGCAAAGAATGGATTTAAAGTGTATCTTACATATTCTAATTATATATTACGTATTCTAATCGATTTTCTAAATTTGTAGTGACAACGCTCACAAATGTTGCATTTTCTTACATATCGAAATTAAACAAGAAAGAATGATATACGTCTTTTAGATTGATTAATCACCTAATGAACTGATTGAATATACATTATCAATTATGTGAAGGAAAAGTTTAAAAAAAAATATATGTTGTTCTGAAACAATTCTCTGTGCTATTCAGAAATCGCTTGAATTTAGGTGATTTAAAAGTTATTTTAGAATTATATTACGCTAAGTCTTCTCTAAAAAGTAATAATAAAAACTTGATAAATCATATTAAAATAATAAAAAAGAAAGTTAATATTTCCGTAAGAAAGTCAGGATTGTATTCCGAAACAAATAATTTCGTCAAATCTAATAATAAAAATTAATTTATTTATTTAAAGTCATTTATTAGTATGTAATAAGTTCCCGTATGTATATGTATAATTTAGAGTATATATTTTAAATCGCCATGTGTATGTGTGCATGTATACTTTTTTTAAATAATTCTTTTTCAAATATGCAGTTGACATTTTTATAGTATAATATTTATATCTAAAAATCTTTTAAACTTTATTAATTAATTAAATAATAATGAGAGCTATAAAATACATTGAGTATTGACTTTTAAAAACGACATAAATTAAATCAATATTCGAATGTATTTAAGTTTATTGGTTTCTTTTCCGTGATATCGATTAGTTCTTTACTTGCGCTTATTTCGTGAGCGCGTATTACCTTGGAGATGACACATTTTGACAGTTCGTATATTTGTCATATATGTTACACGTAATTATTATCGCGGATATAATTTGTGTACATTTTATTTCGCATTTTTTAATTTTTTTTAAATATTTTACTATTAATATTGAAAGTTTATAATTATACAAATAATTTTCTTCATGTCACATAGCTACTTATTATATAAAATAGACAAGTATAGTGTAGTTCAATACAAATTTATTATTATTATTTATTATTATTATTATTATTATTTTATTATTATTTATTATTATTATTATTATTTTTATAAATTTATTTAAATTTTATATTGGAATTATATTGGATTAATTAGAAAATATATGACGAAAGAAAATAAATAGTGCACGCTCAAAACGTAATATTTAGTGTATATAATTGAATATAATTGTTTATTAGTAATAAAGAGAATTATAATTCTTAACTGTTGAAAAATTTGAAATAGATCTAAAAATTTAGATTTATACTATTTGCACGAAATATATTATACAATATCATATTATACAATATTTTAATACCTCAAATTTCCAAATATTTATATTGCATTCTCAAAGCTATTCTATAATAATGTATATTAATTATAAAAAGCAAAAGAATAAAAGAAACATAAAACATACAACAATAAAACATAAAACAATAAAAATATCTTAATTTCACACTTAAGCACATTAAAATTAACTTATTATTTGTTTTACAATATAGAATATAATTATTTATTTATATTCAATATTTATATTTAAATCTTTTTATTAAAAAATTATTTAACAGAGAAATACAATGTTAGGATTGAATAAAATTAAATATATACAGTTAGTGAAAAGCAACGCAAAATACCTGAATTATTATAATATATGTATATATTAGTAATATTAAGATGACTCGAATTTGTTTGATGCTAAACTTATTATATGGCCAAAGTCCAATCGATGACAAAAGAATATAATTGAGTCTATAGTATTTCTCCTCGGAAAACTCCATCTCAGATAACAATCGAAGCGTTACTGAACATCGCCAGTCTATAGAAGTTTCTCTTACCCCACGGCCACTCACTTGATTATTTCTTTCACTATGACATTAATTTTCCCATCATTGAAACATTTTGTTGTCATACGAATACTGAAGATAAAAGCTGTAATTTGAATTTAAATATCTATAATATGCTTACATCCTCGTATAAAGCGAATATAAGTTTCAAAATAATTTGGAATAAAGAGAAGAAATGTATATATGAAGAAATGTATATTTCTCGAAAAAATGACTACACCTTCGTTCTATTATACTCTATTATAATAATAACTAAGTTATAATAATGTATAGTTAAGTAGCGAATTAATGTTTATTATTTTTCTTACTTTTCTTATAAATACGTATATATAGTAGAGGACATTTTATATTAATAAAACATACGGAATCAAACACAATATGATATTATATGTCTGATTTATATATTTTATACTTCAGAACTGTTTGATAATTGAAAATTTGGCAGTAATTAAACTCTAACAGCAAGTGATGATTATAAAGTTATAATTTTTCAAATAATAAACTGCAGATAATTAACAGAAAATTCTTTGAATGAATAAAAAAACATTTTGATTAAATTATTCTACTTTAAGAAACTTAAAGAAATTTACTAGAAGAAAAAAGAGGTAAATATACATATAAGTGTACTAATAAATATACTAATTTATATATTTATAGTATATAATAAAGTGATATCAAACAAATAGAACAAAATGATAAAATATTAGAATCAGAAAATATATTTTTATTTTAGAAATAATATACAATATAATATACAATAAAATTGCTAGCATATCATCGCATAATATAAAATAATAAAATAATGATAAATCTTTCATTCTTCTTTTAGTGCAATTGCGACGTCTAAATCGTCGAAATTTTAAGATGATTATAGATATATAAAGCATACAGCAATATTTGAATGATAAGAACAACAGAAAAGAGTAAAAAGAAATATAATCTATTTTTAAGCAATGATGATATCTACTTAATTATAAAAAGAAAATGATAAAGATTATATTTAGCAAATGAAGGTATATCGTGCATTTCAATAATCTGATATTTTTATCTCTTCAAAAATATTATGTTACAATATAATGCGATAAAAAACAATTTCTCTATGAGAAATGCATGAGATCATTAATTGTATTTAATGAGATTCACTAACTAAGTTTAATAAGAAAATTTAAATTATAATAATAAATGTAACTAAAGCATATCTTACATGAAATAATTTGTTAAACATATTATATTATTATATTATGTGCAAGAATACATATATTGGACAATAATAATAAGGAAATTATAGATATTTAAAATGTAGCAAATATGTAAGCATTAAAATATTTTTGATAATGGTATCTTTTATTTGGTTATTTTATTCTTTATTGTTTCAAGTTTTATCCTACAATATTACAGAAACTTGTTATGACAATAAGCGCTGTTGCAATAAATTATTATTTTCGCATTAAATAAAACACAGTAAAATAAGACAATGCCGCATTTGCAAGCTAGAAGAAATAATTAATTTTCATACTTATTAAAAATTAGAATTATATAATAATAAAAAATTGTTTTAATTAATTTTAATCTTTTTTGTGACGTTCTAATAATGGGTTATATGAACTACCTACATCTACATAATAATTTTTTGTGGTTTTTATATGATATATAATTTGCTTTTATGTTCAACGAAAAAACGCATTATATCACTGTATATTGCATATTCGATTCTAGAAATGTTATACATATGTATATCTATTTCATATTAGTTTACGTATATATTTTTGAAAATATTAGTAATTTATGAAATTAGAGCTTGCATAATTTATAAAATTAGATCTAGCATAATAAAGTTGAAAACAAATAGATAAAATAATAAAAAACAACATAAACCTTATTAAATTATTCATTCCGTTTGCCGAATATTCTTTAAAAGAGCTTTCTTTATATGTGTTGTTCGATTAATTGACACATTTTATCATTTTCAGGTTACAAAATAATTACATTATTAAAAATAAATTCACGTTCGACAAAATTGCAAATTCTTATAACAGAATTCTTAATAGAGAATGAACCGTAAATCTTTAAGTAACAAATTGTAATTATGCATTAATCTATTTTTTTATAAATAAAATTATTTCAATTAAATTCATTTATTACTTGCACATACATTAAGAAAACGTAGTACTATTATAATAAATAGAAATAACGAAATAATTTGAGTAACCAAATCCAGAAATAATTTTTAAAATTTAAATTTTATATTTTTAGTTTATTAACTTTATTATTTATTATAAAATTCATATTAAAATTTTGATTGTATATTTTTAAAGTACTAACAAAATAGTCCCTTTGCATGTTATAATTATATAGAATAAAGAACCATGAAATAAGAAACCGTCATACTTAAACTCTAAAACAGAAAATATTTTATGTAATTAATCGATATAGTCATTGATTAAAAAATTGACTAAAAATTGATTAAAAAACATAATTTATTAGATTTCTTACTGTAGCTAAACCTTCCAAACAGGGATTAAACATACCACCGGCATCAACCTTATAACATTTTGTAGTCTTTTGTATCAAGAAGAGTATTAATTTTTGTGTTTTTAACGGAGCGTTATACCATTCTGTATTACATCTATATAGTACAAGTAAAATACTGAATATTATATCACAATATGAATTGTATTCTTTCAAAAATAATACATAAAATTTTGCAAAAAATGTAATAATAATTATATTACTTACATTGTACGATAAAAATGCGTGTCACTATTTATAAATTCCTGCCCAGCATAATTAGCTACAGTTAAATAAAAAAAGTGCAGTGCTATGAATGAAATCGATTTAATAAGTTCTACGATTTCTCTTTCTGTCATTATTATTCGAGATAACTACAAATAACAGCGCATGTAATAAATGAAAGAATAAAATAGAGAATTTAATAAAGATAAAATAGAGCATTTTTTTTAGAAATTTATGAAATGTTTCTATCACAACATATTTCTACGCTACAATAAAATAAGTTTTTATTTTAAACATTACATTACTCACATTAAGTAAATTAATGCTTGCCGAACATACACCAATCACAAACAAGAATAAGTATACTCGCCCAAAACTTGTTTTCAATAATTCAGAAAATCTTATAAAACAAAAATATTCTTTATTATTATAATACTTTCAAGAGATCAAATAAAAAACATAATTTTTTAAACATTAATTTACAATTTTTTAAAATATTAATTTAAAATATAGGTTGTGTCCATTGCATATAAAATTATTATTTGGATTGTAATTAGAAATAAATATTATATTAATCGATGTGTGTTAATAATTTTGATATAATCAATCACTTTTGAATTATCATCAATACTATTAGTGTATTACTTTAAATATGTTATGCACAGAAAAAATTAATTACTTACTTAATCAAGTTTATTATATTTTCATATATAAGCAAGAAATTATATTAAAATCATCATTCATAGAAGATTTTTAGTCGTGAATTGAGCAAAAGTAATACTTGCATTAATATAAATTTTAAATTAAATCGAGATTGAAACTTTTAAAAGGATTATAATATTCTTATTTGTGAAAATAATATTTGTTTGGACTTTTTAAGACTAATTTTTTTTCTGTGTGATACTAACTCGATTGCTCTTCTATGGAAATCCACCGCAGCGATTATTCTTTTATGAGATATAGTATACTTTTTAGTTATACACATCTGCGGATTAATTCCGTTTAATACATGTTTCATACGATAACTAAAAAGATTTAGATGTTAGATACATATAATGTAGAATAATGATTATATTCTATCGGATAAGATTATATTACAAATCTAAATAATAATAAATATCTAAATAAAAAATATCTAAATAATAATAATTAATAACTAATAATAATAATTAATAAAAATATCTAAATAATAATAAATTACAAATATCTAAATAATAATAAATTACAAATATCTAAATAAAAATAAATAAAATAAAACTTTATAGATATATAAATAATTTAAGTTAACGAATACAACAAATACAACAAATAAGACGTTTTATAAATAACTATCAAACATAATAACAAATTGTAATTTATTAAAAATAGAAAACAGTATAGATTAAAATATTAGAAAAATATTAATTAAAAAAATTAAATAATGAAATCTAATAAAGAACTAAGAAAAAAATAAAGAAATAAAAGTATTTTTAATAGATGAAATAATATATTTACCTAGCGATTTTAAATAAGCCGAAAGCATGTAATGCGTTTGTTAATGAGAATGATTCAGTAGCTACTCCACTGATTGTTGCAATCAATATTCCAATAGCTATGTGTAATGTTATGATATAAAAATATTTGTCCTGGTCAATAAAATATTCCACAGGAACTACAAATTTGCGCGGTCGAGATTCATTTAAAGGTGATATAATATCGAGTAAGATTGAAACATATTGAGATAAAATATAAAACGAAGTACTGATTACATTAATGAATACTGAAATAAATCAAATGTTATTAATATACATTCATATATGATTTTATATAACATATAATTAATTCTAATATTCTTTATACTATGTTTACATAGTAAACTAAAAATATTAAAATAATTATTATGTTAATTAATAAAGTTAATTGATTTATTAACATTAGACGATATTTTGCATCTTATTATTAGACACAATTATCACAATAAAGAACATTAAATAATTAGTTATTTTTCACTTATCAACTGATTAATAACTTACTGCATTATTATTTAAAATTAATTTTTCTTTTCTGGTAAAGTATTGTGAAAAATAATTTTCTTACTTTTAAACTATAATTTATTTAATAATCAAAAATAAATAATATTTCTTTTAAAAATTAATATTTAAATATTTTTTTAATATTTACTTATTAGAAGTATCGTAAATAATTTGCCAATGCTTCCATGTTTACACATTATTTCGATTTCATAATTATCTATCAAAGCGTTCCAATTATTTCGGACACGTTCCCGGAATTCTTTAATCTACTAATAAAGGTAATAAGTGTTTTTGTAACATGTGATATATAATATATTTTCAATTAATTGTTTTTGTCTTACATTTTTGAAAACAGCATAAAATGTAATATATTTTACAAAAAATACTATAAAAATGATATTGTAAGCTAACACTTTTAGAAGAAGATCAGAACTATATTCTGAGACACATAATTTCATCCACTGAAAAAATTGTTAACTTCTGAATAATATTTAATTTTATATAACATATAACAAAATACATTATTAAACGTTACAGAACATGTCATCAAAATAGTCAACGTATAAAACAAAGAAAACATTTATTTAAGAAAGACATGCTCATATCAGTACAATGTGACTGTAACGTAAGTTAAGTTAAAAGAAGTATATAAAATGTAATACATCAAACAACTGTAGTTATATTTCAAATAAAAAATAAATGATAATATACCTGAGCACTTAAAAAGGATAAAAGTAATAGTAATGATAATATGAAACGAAGATATCGGATTTTAAAATTATCATATGGCCAAAGACCAATTATTGATAAAAGAATATGATTCACTCCATAATATCGCTCTTCAGGGAACTCCATTTCAGACAACAGTGTGAATATTACTGAATAGACTATAAGTCTAACCTGTAAGCCTAAACCTGTAGAATTTTTTTCTCATATACCTATAGTTTTCATAATTATTCTTTTTACGACTGTTCTGTAACGTGTATCTATTGTACAGACAATTTGGCTAGATAGCTTAATAATTTTCTTAAATTACACATAAATAGAAAGGGAGATAAGATAATAGCAGGAAGGAAGAAAACGAGCGTAGGAAGAAACAAAACGCGTTTGATAATAAATTATATTCACTTATGTACTTATTCTATTAAGAGTAATGATAATTAAAAAAAGTAAATTATCATAATATTAAAAATGCGGAGCACATTTTTCATATTTCTCATCTTTCTGTATTCGCTTGTATACTTCACAAAGTGAAGTATCACGGAGAAGCTTGCATCTTTACATGTTAGCTAGCTTAATGTGATACTTTGTTTGAAATGTATAATATTTGTGAATTATTATACATCAACAATTTCGATATGTGCTGTCATATTAGAAATTTGAATATGAAAAATTTTAAGAGGTAAAAGCTATTGCGGTTGTTGCGTAATATATAAAGATTGTTATATATAAAATAATATTTCCATGAGATATTCTTTTTTTTCAAAATAAATATACAAACAATATATATTTTAAAATCTTGTAAACTTTGGTATACTTTTAATCAAGCTGATCTATTATAAGTTAAAAAATATTAACATCTTGATTACTGCCAACAATATTCTACATTTAAACTCACGTTTCATCGTGAATATCTGTATTGTGGCTTACATAAAACTGTCCAACATAGATATTAAAAAACAAACAATAGGCAAATATGTATGTATATTAGATGTTATGTCCGACGGACTCAACGATTCTTCTCTTTCGTAGAGAACTGACGGCTCATCAGTAAACAGATAATGCCTCGAACGACAAAAAAAAAGATTTTTCCATTATTTCTTTTATTACTATTATTAAACTATCGATTAGGAATCGGAAATGTGACTCCCTCAAAGACCTATCTTCAATAAGTGCGGAATTTCTTTTAAGAATAGAATAGAATATTTATTTATTTACTCTAAATATTTATTTACTCTGCAGCCATATAGCCAAGAAGGGGACTTGGTTTACAATATAATTCTTATCCTCATTCTTATCCATCTTATTCTCTAACTTACTCTAATCTATTTTAATTTCATCATAAATCATTTCATTCTTTACACCATTTCTTGCTCGTTTTCATAAATATATACTACGCTATACAATACAATACAATGTAATACAATTCAATATAATGGAAAATAAAATAATACAGGAATTCTTTTTAAGATATATTATGTCATTAAACCATTCTGAGATAATAAATTCTTTTAGACAAGAGTTCCGCTGGCAACAAAAATTTTACAGCATTCTAGTAATAAAATAGAACATGCCGACACGTAGGAAACGCGGAGATTACCGAGATTATTCGAGGTTGACCGAAACCGGGATGTAATTAACAAAACGCCAATCAGAAGTTTACGATTAGTAGCCGGTAGTGAACACACCAATGAGCAAATCAGGATGTGAAACAACGATGGAATTTTTAAAAACTTATTCAATCATTCGCCAGAAAAACTGGAAATATAAAAACAATCACGATTCACGCAACGCCGCCTCCCCTCCTTCCTTATACCCATGATTTTCACGAACCCTCATTCGAAAATTAATACAGGGATCCATTATCACCCCGGAACCTCCCTACTCCTCCAAAAAGTCCTATATAAACAGAGCACATTGCTCTTTCTTATTCTTCCGAAGATCTCTTCATCTTGGATCCTTATCCAGAAAATTGAAATTTAGTTAGAGTCAGTGCACGACTTTTCCAACCTTCACTGTGAGATCAGTAGCAAACTTCTCCAGGAGATTGCTTCTCGACTGAGAACTACACATCAATTAAAATCTAAGTAAGTTTCTCTTTTCTTTCCTTTTTTCAATTATCTTGTCGCGATTCGATACAACGATCCCCCTTGTTTTTCTTCTCTTCGCGGTTACACTGAAAAAAAATTTAAGCCAATCCAAAAAAAAATTATTTTATTTGAGTTAATAATTTGTGTAGTGTTCTTAATTATTTATTATATAAATAAGAATAATTTTATTTTGAATTTAACCAAACTTAGATTTATTGATTGCATTCTGTGACGTATAATCGAGAATAGAATATTACAACGCAATATTTCAAACTCCTTCCGATGAGCACGTCCTTCTTCTTCTTCAATTTATTTATTAATAAAATAATAACGTTGATTTTATGTTGTCATGATAAAAGAGAAAAGTATCACGCTATCAAATACATTTAACTCTCAAAATGCGATTCGCGTGATAATTTACATTAGCTTATTGATTTATCGAGTAATATTGCGAGACAGTGGACGAAAAAATATGTACTATTTCATTAGAAATAATATCGAATAAAACAATATTAGCGATCTGATGCAACATGAGGTACTATGTTAGATTTTCTATAGGGACTAAATCGCCAAACAAAAATAATCAAATTATCAACAAGATAATGCATTTCCGAAGCAGTAAGAACAAGTTTTTATTTTTATTACTTCATATTTTAAAACGAGAATTATGTTTTTATCACAGCTTGAATTGACAGTACAAATTCTTTCGTTTAATATTTTAAATCGTTTAATATTTTTATAATAAAAAACTTATGTTTATCAATGAGATTGCTCAAAATTTGAACCATATCATAGCGATAAATGTCTTTAAATATATCATGCAGGGATCGACTGACGCGACTTGCTTATTACATGATATCCAGAGATCGTTGAAAATGCTTTTTTCTATTACATCAAAAGAACGTTTAGAAACATGTTCTGAATAAATATCAATTGTTCTTAAAATTTTGGACTTTTCTACTATCATATATTGTATTTATTTTTTAGTAGCTAGACATATTTTACAACAATACGATTGATTAAAATTTTTACTGAACCCAAGAACGGTATTCAAAGCTAAATTATTTCTTACTATATAACATAATCTGAAAAAAATCTTTTTCTCTTGAAAAAAATCTTTTTCTCTTTTTCTATTTTTATTCATAACAATCTCATAACTTACAAGTTCTTGAATTTCATTAACAACATTAGTAAAAATTTTCTATTACCTAACAATTTATGATCCTTTTATTTATGTAACTGAACTAAAAATATGTTTTCTAATTTACTCGCGTATTTTGATGGCAAACATGGAATATAAGAATACACTGTTCCAAGTTTATTTTTATATTTTCGGGAATCCAATGGATTGTTAATTTCAAAATCGTCAAAATAAATTATTAAAGAACAATATTCACTTATTTTGTTTAAAATAAATTCTCAAAACTATCCTTGACAAATTGACTGGAAGTCTTTACTTACTCTGCATTTTACAATAAATGAATCTATTGCCTCGAGCACATTAAAAAGTTCCAAGAAATGTTTTAAAACAAATTTTAAAGGAATGAAACTTAATTTACTGCAATAAACTTTATTTTAGGAAATTTTTCTGACTTTTCCGAAATTCAAGTACGTCCGAATAACTATATCTTTAAGCAAAAAAAGATAATTTACTTGTTCTAAATATTTAAAAGTCTTTATCTCTGATTTAAGAAATGCAAAACCATTTATCATGTTTAATGGAATATTCAAATTATTATTGTTTCACAACACTGTACAGCTGTACAGCTTATATACATGTTGCTAAATATGTTTCACTTATAATTTGAATAATTTTAAGTATTGTTCCTCTACTTAATGTCAATAAAGTCAGCATACATTTTTATTACAATAGAAGGAATCGATTTAAAAACAGTTGATTAGTAAATATCAATGTCAAACTCTTCATCATTTACAGAATCATTCGTTTTAATCATGTTATAAATCTTTTCCTGGTCTTCATTATAATTACTTGAATCAAAATCAAGAATAGTTGAAGTCGCATCAGAAAAGAAACATTTGTGCCGAAAACAGTATCACTTATTCGCTTTGAAGTTATACTTGAAGCTAATTCTGTTTTTGATATATAATGTTTATTAAGAACGTGTCTTCCTAAAGAATAAACATTAGTAAATGATCATTATAATTGTCAAATTTATATAATAAAAGAATAATAATAGTAATAGTAGAATTTAACATAAATTTATGTTTTAATCTTATATGTTGCACGTAATCTTATGTTTCATGTTTATAAATTTTTTTTCGTAAAAAAACAATTTATTTTGAAAGAAAAAATAAAAATCTAATTTAAAAATCAACAGCTGGTAACGTAATCGGTTTCGTGGCAAGGATCTTGATTGTTAAATTTTTATGTAAAATAAATTCAATAATTATATCACCAACTACGTCTCACTTAATTTATGAGACTTCCAACGTAGTGATTCTATAATAATTAATAATAATTCGATATCAAATAATTTTTGATATCGATTAAAATCCCTTTTATTCTCTCCCACGTAAATTATATATTGCGAAAAATATCACCTTGCGTTTGAAAAATTTAACAACCAAGATCCTGCTTGCCACGAAATCGACTGTTACCAGCTATTGTTTGTTAACATGTATTGGCTTGTATCAAGTATTGTTTAATTTAAAAATTTTTAGAAATTAAGTATTGACTGATATTCAAAATATCGTCGTTTTTAATATTTGGGTTTTCTGTTTTGCTTTATGTCTTATTAAAGTTACATCTTATTTTTTTCAGCAATCTGAAGAAAATAAGAAATAATTGAAGAAATTAAATTAAATAATTTCCTTCTTTTTCAACAACCGATTTTGTTTTAAAGTTGAAACAATAAATTTAATTAAAATGTGCAAAATTCGGATGTCTATAAAATTATTAATATTATTAAATGAAAAAATCCACAACCAAATTTAACTTAATAGATCGAAATAGATCATAAAAATTCTATTTTTTTAAATACATACTTTCACAATCATGCATTATCATGCATTTCTCGACAGCAT